GTCAGCAAAAGACACAAAAAGACACAAAAATACATAACTCCTATTGAACTGAACAGAACCCCCACATTCAACCTATCCCCAGATGGCTTGGATCTGAGCGCTCAATATATCCAAACAGCGCTCAGATCCCACAAATACAGTCAAATCGCCATACACACTAGGTCCATAGTCATGGGGCAGAAGGCTGGCAATTAGGCTTCTCCATAACACAGGGAAGCAGGGCAATTTGTCAAATAACATAACAGTTACAAATGGCAGTTTGTAACATATCTCCCCTTTTGGAGGGAGACTAACCAGGCACCTGACCTTCTGTCGGTCAGTGCCTAAGTTAGTCTCGCAGCCCACCCACAAATAAACATTGGCAGAGTAGCCCTCCCACAATAAATAGTACTGGCCTGTAGGTTCCAGGTTGCAGGACAGTCCTGTGACAAGGGAGTTGGTAGGGCAGAGGCCAGCGGCGCTCTGTCCTGATGCCAGCTCTTCTGCTGGGGTGAGGGGGTTGCAGGCCAGTCCTGTAATAAGGGGGTCGGTAGGGCAGAGGCCAGCGGCGCTCTGTCCTGATGCCAGCTCTTCTGCTGGGGGAATTGGGGCATAGTCCTGCCCGGTGGCAAAGGGAACGTGGGGGTTGGTGGGGGTTGCCATCTCACCCGTTAACCCTGGGCCCAAGTTAGGAGTTGGCTGGGGAGGGGAGAATTGGCTTACCTCCTCCTCCTGATACTCCTGCGGCCGCTGGGGAGGGAGGTCGATGCTCTCCGCTTCCTGTGGAACATGCTGGGGCTGGGGAGAGAGACCGGTTGTCTCCTCTCCCTGGAAGGCACACTCCGGCTGGGGAGAGAGGTCGATGCTCTCCTCTCCCTGTAGCTGGGTCTGCCGCTGGGGATCTGGGCCGCCTGCCCAGCATCCCTGTAGGGCCGGTAGAGAGACTACGGTCCCATCTTCACCTGCCTGTTGGGGGTCCTCCCAGGACCAGTCTATGAGGTCTGCTGCCTCGGGTACCTCTGGTTGGGGTTGGGGAAGGAGACCGGTTGTCTCTTCCCTCTGCACGGTGCACTGCCGCTGGGGAGAGAGGTCGCTGCTCTCCTCTCCCTGTAACTCAGGCTGCCGCTGGGGAGGGAGGTCGATGCTCTCCGCTCCCTGTAACTCACCCAGGGGTTGGGGATCTGGGCCAACTGCCCAGCATCCCTGTAGGGCCTGTAGAGAGACCTCGGTCCCATCTCTACCTGCCATCAGAGGTTCCTCCCAGTATACCTCTACGATATCCTTCCAGCTGAAGGACTCTCGATCTGGCTCTGCTGCTGTGCTCTCTAGGGGGACCTCTGGATGCTGTTGAGGAAGGGGACGGGTTGTCTCTTCCCGGGACCCCTGGATGATGTGCTGGTACTTCCACTCCAGGTCACATTCCTGGGTGACTAGATACCGCAGGTCTGCTTCCAGGCCAATAGCTCTAGGGAGTCCCAGCTTGTCTTCCCGGTCATCATACAGGTCCCAGAAGCGTGAGTCTGTAGCCCTTCCAAAGTCATCATCGTCCATATTCTCCCAGAATAGATCAGGGCCATTGTAATCCCCACACTCAGGGAATTCATACTCAGCTATCTCTGGAACAAGCTGAGTCGCGTACCACTGTAGCGCCTGGTATGCGTTGTCGAGCCACAGTTCACTGTATACTAGATCCTCTAGTTTAGTCACCCACACTGGAAGGGGTTGTTTGCCCAGGAGGGGCATCCGCTCTGCCATTCGAGCCTGGATTTGCTGCCCTCTGCTGATTCTACGATCACCTCGCCAACGCTGAACTTCCTGTAGGGCTTCTTCCCACAGCTCGGCTCTGGCCTCACTTCTGTACCCACACATCTCCTCTTCTGAGACTGCCCCATCTTTCCAGGATAGGAAGCCATGCAATCTGTCGAGGAACCTCTCCTCCATTTCGGCTGCTGTGCACGGACTTGCTGGCTCCATGCTGCTCTAGGTAGGGACGCTGCGCAGTGGCTAGCGTTGCCCTCAATACTCTCTCATACGATACCAGTGCTGTTGGGGTGCTGCTCCTTGCGCTAGGACGCCATCCCACCGCTTGCCACCAAATGTTACGGTTGCCTCCAGGCTGGCTGGAAGTTGGACCGTAGAAAAGGATGCTCCTAGCGCTCACCAAAGGACCATCAGCACCGTAGACACCATAACTACTGCGTAGCCACCATAAGTACTGCAGACTCCACGAACCACCGCTGCTGGGCTGGTATCTCGCCGTCTGCTCTGTGCCCTGGACCCACGACCAGGCTCCAGGTTCCAGTAGGTGAACCTCTTCCTTCTGCAGAGCGAAGCAGGATCAGGAACAAGAGCTCTTACAAGAGCTCAGTAGCTAAGGGAGTATGAAGAGCATAGCAATCCCTGTAGTGATTATAGCTGTCCCCTACAAACATGAGTCAAGGCTGCAAGTTAGAGGGTCAAGAAGATCTGAGGTGCTGGCACACCCAGCCTGGTTTTTATTACAGTCTTGCAAATACAGGACCGCCCACAGGGAGGTATAAAACAACCAATAATAAATGTACATTACAGAAACACTCCCAGCAATTACACACAAAACTCCTCCCCTCTGCCTGTGATCTAATTATGTTGCACAATGGGTTAACATAATTAAACACAGGCAGTAAAAATACAGTTTTTATCCATGTACTATAACTTCCAAACTACACATCCAATCTTCATAAAAATACATATTTAGAATCAATCCATTCAGGGGAGCAACATATTAAAAACTGGCACAAATCAGACAAGGGGTTCAAAAGTTAGCAAAAGTATCTTTTGGGGCCTAGCTGGCAGCATGGTTTTCTGGCCCAAACCGGATTTACAGAGCCCTCTATCCTGGACAATGGGGAAAGTAATCCAATTATCCAGGGATAGAGGCAGACTCCATTAACCACATGTCAGCAAAAGACACAAAAAGACACAAAAATACATAACTCCTATTGAACTGAACAGAACCCCCACATTCAACCTATCCCCAGATGGCTTGGATCTGAGCGCTCAATATATCCAAACAGCGCTCAGATCCCACAAATACAGTCAAATCGCCATACACACTAGGTCCATAGTCATGGGGCAGAAGGCTGGCAATTAGGCTTCTCCATAACACAGGGAAGCAGGGCAATTTGTCAAATAACATAACAGTTACAAATGGCAGTTTGTAACAAGAGCACACACATACAGATCAATTGCCGTGGAGCCAAAGTCTTTCTCATAATCTTTCATTATACGAATAGGCTCCATGGCATAGCTATCTGGGGTATCACCGCTCAAACAGGGCAAGCACCAAATGACCCGGCTTTCATGTCTTTGCAGGGGAAAATCAAGCCTTTTAACATGGGGCCATAATCCAAAGGCAACAGGCGAGCAACCAGGCTTCTCCAATGCAATGTGGCAAGATTGGTCTCGTCACGAAGTCAATTACAGCCTGAAGTCTGGAATGCATTGACATCACCAGACGCTGGGTTTCATCACTGGTGATGCTCTGCAGGCCTCTACTGCAACTGTCTTCAGTTCCTGCTTGTTCTTGGGGCATTTTCCCTTCAGTTTTGTCTTCATCAAGTGAAATGCATGCTCAATCGGATTCAGGTCAGGTGATTGACTTGACCATTGCAAAACATTCCACTTCTTTCCCTTAAAAAAACTCTTTGGTTGCTTTTGCAGTATGCTTCGGGTCATTGTCCATCTGCACTGTGAAGCGCCGTCCAATGAGTTCTGAAGCATTTCACTGAATATGAGCAGATAATATTGCCAGAAACACTTCAGAATTCATCCTGCTGCTTTTGTCAGCAGTCTCATCATCAATAAATAAAAGAGAACCAGTTCCATTGGCAGCCATACATGCCCACGCCATGACACTACCACCACCATGCTTCACTGATGAGGTGGTATGCTTTGGATCATGAGCAGTTCCTTTCCTTCTCCATACTCTTGTCTTCCCATCATTCTGGTACAAGTTGATCTTGGTCTCATCTGTCCATAGGATGTTGTTTCAGAACTGTGAAGGCTTTTTTAGATGTTGTTTGGCAAACTCTAATCTGGCCTTCCTGTTTTTGAGGCTCACCAATGGTTTACATCTTGTGGTGAACCCTCTGTATTCACTCTGGTGAAGTCTTCTCTTGATTGTTGACTTTGACACACATACACCTACCTCCTGGAGGTAGTGAGGGATTAATACACACCTTGCCATGGAACAGCTGAGCAGCCAATTGTCCCATTACTTTTGGTCCCTTGAAAAGTTGGAGGCACGCATTGTTCTTGATCTGGCCAACTGTTGTGAAGGGTGTTTTCTTCACCAGGGAAAGAATTCTTCGGTCATCCACCACAGTTGTTTTCCGTGGTCTTCCGGGTCTTTTGGTGTTGCTGAGCTCACCGGTGCATTCTTTCTTTTTAAGGATGTTCCAAACAGTTGATTTGGCTACACCTAATGTTTTTGCAATCTCTCTGATGGGTTTGTTTTGTTTTTTCAGCCTAATGATGGCTTGCTTCACTGATAGTGACAGCTCTTTGGATCTCATATTGAGAGTTGACAGCAACAGATTCCAAATGCAAATAGCACACTTGAAATGAACTCTGGACCTTTTATCTGCTCCTTATAAATGGGATAATGAGGGATTAATACACATCTGGCCATGGAACAGCTGAGCAGCCAATTGTCCCATTACTTTTGGTCCCTTGAAAAGTGGGAGGCACGCATTGTGCTGAGCTCCGCGCACCGACGGCCCGACAAAGCATAATTTAAGCAGTACCGGCTACCAAATTTACTACCCACAACACTCCAGACATGGCAGCACAAAAGGCACAAAATGATCAGGCCGGCTTTTTCGCGACCCGGGCGTTGACGCCAAAATCTCTGGGCCTAGCCGACCAGGAACAAGATGGCGACAGAGGTAATGATACACTGCCACTACCAACCTCCCCAGGGCGCAAAACCTGCAGTGACCCAGGACTTCTTACAGAAGTGCCTAGACAATATGTCCAGCAAGATCCTGGAAACCCTGCAAGGCACACTGAGAGAAATGAAAAGAGAGATGCAGGAGCTGGGGGACAGGACGGCACATGTGGAGAACCGCATGGAGGAACAAGTCACAGTGCATAATGAAATGGCAGAACATGTGAAAGATCTGCAGCAACAACTGACCTCACACAGAGGAAGGTCATGGACCTAGAGGACCGCTAAAGACGGCAAAGCCTCAGAATCAGAGGCATCCCTGAGGAGGTGAAACAGCAGGACCTACACAAATACCTAATGGGGTACTTTAAGGCACTAGCATCAGATATACCAGCTGAAATTCTGCTGCTGGATAGACATCACAGGGTGCAAAAGCCGGCGTTCCTACCACAAGATACCCCCAGGGATGTACTAACACACCTACACTACTTCCACGCTAAGGAAGCACTACTCCAAGCAACAAGAACGGGCGGAGAGCCGCCACAGAAGTACAAGAACATCAAAATGTTCACCGACCTCTCTGCAGCCACATTGCAGAAAAGAAAGGAATTTAGGGAAACGACAGAAACCCTCCGCTACAACAATATGCAGTACAGATTGGGATTCCCTTTCCGCCTGCTAATCAGAAGAAGTGGAATGGTGACTACAGTGAACACACCGGAAGAAGGACGCAAACTGCTGCGCAGCTGGAACATTATGCCAAATCCGGAGAGGAAAGACATGACCACAGCACTAAGAATGCCTCCAGAATGGAAAACGAACAAGAAATGAACTAGCACAGACACATTTTCCTTCTGCTGATACCACCATAGCAGAGCCTGATGTCTGGCAGACAGCGAGGCGCAAGTATTCCCAGCACTACATGTTTAACTATGTACATCCAAGACAACACACGCAACACACACAAATAGGCCAAGAAGGCTTGACGAGCACATAAACCACAAACACATCCAAACACAAAATTCCACATACACAACCCCCCCCCAAAAAAACCGTAAAATCAGCCAGTACACCTCACGCCACAGCAATAGCCGGTAAATACACAGCGCAAACAGCGAAACGCACATGAAAATACAGATGGAAAGATTCGGGCACCTTAGGTGCCACCAACCGCACCACACCTTAGAAGTTGACAAAGTAACCACGCTCACACCTTGCTCTATCACGGTAGTGCAACACCCTTCAGTGGGAAATGTATACTAAAATGTTTGTTACTGTATACATTGTTTTGTTCTATTCGAATGTTATATATGATGTTTGTATAGCTAACTCCTTAGCCCTACCCCCTACCATCCCAACCCCAACCCCAGGCATTGCAGAGCCCCGCAGTGGGAACCACGGAGGCAACAAACACATGGACCCCTTGGGGAAACCGTATACCACCATAGTGTAACATACACTGGCAGAAACACCCAATACCTGTAAAAACTATTCGTTAAAATATGAAAATATACAGCCACGATGTTAAGGGGTTGAACACCCCAGTAAAGAGATACTGCCTAACTAGAGATCTACGCAAAACACATCCGGACATAGTATGTTTACAAGAAATGCACCTTTAAAAGGCATCCAACCTAGCACAAGCACAGTACCCGGTACAATACCATAGCACTGCCACATCTAAAACTAAAGAGGTATCTATACTGATCAGCAAAGATGTATCCTTCAAGCCCCTGTACAAGGACACAGATACGCAGGGGAGGTACATAATATTGACGTGTGAGATCAACAATTTAGAACACATGATTGTAAACATTTACGCACCAAATGCCAACCAGAGAAACTTCCTGCACAAAATCATAACACGTCTCGCGCAAGTTCAGAGGGGTATCACGATCATATGTGGAGACTTGAACCACATACTAGACCCCAAAAGAGACTCAACGGTAAGACCAAACACACCCAGAAACGCAACCCTCACACGAGAATGCAAACCCTTAGTTCAACTACTTAGCGAACACGACCTATATGATGCATGGAGGGTATTACCCCCGGAAGAAAGGGATTATAAATTTTTTTCCCAGGTCCACAACACTTATTCCCGGATAGACGGGTTCTACATAAAGGGCACATTCCTCAACCAACTAACAGCATGCTCGATAGGCAACATCACATCTGACCACGCCCCAATTACTCTAGAACTACAAGATGCACATGAATATAAACACAGGATTCCCTGGAGACTGAACGAGACCCTTTTGCATGACTCCCAATTCTGTGAAATCCTCACCACTGACCTGCACCGATACTTTACCAATACCCAGACACACGGAATAACACCGTAGACCTTATGGCAGGCACACAAGCCGATTATCAGGGGATCCCTTATAGGCAGAACGAGCGCACTAAAACGTGAGTCCCAAACTAAAACAAAACACTGGCTAAAAACACTGTATATTCTCAACAAACAAAATCAGCTGACACTGACTCCAGAGCTTAAACAACAAATTCAGGAGAAATTAGGGGAAATTAAAGAACATGACCTGGCAAAAACAGGATATCACCTTAGAAAACTTAGGACCACGTAATACATACAGGGTAATAGGGCGAGCAAATTACTAGCTAGGAGACTGTCACACAGAAATGCGAACACTAAGATCCCATTCATCCAAAATCACATAGGGGAAAAGAAGGTGACGCCCAAGGACATTGGGGATGTCTTTGCGGATTACTACTCATCCTTATATAATCTTGGGAAAGACGCTGACATAAGCCAACCAACTATGGACAGAATAGAGAAATACCTAGCAGGGGTTTTCCTACCATCACCGATGGAGGAACAAATAGTACAAGATACTATCACAGTAGAAGAAGTCCGCCAGGCCATATCCCGCCTACCGAGCGGGAAAGCCCCAGGCCCAGACGGGTTCCCCAACAATTACTACAAAAAATTTGCACACACTCTAGCCCCACACTTAGCAAACGTATTCAATGCAATCACTCTCAAAGCGCACACACCAAACCAGGGAAACCACCCACATGTAGCCAAAACTTCAGACCAATCTCACTACTTAACACGGACATTAAACTTTATGCAAAAGTACAAGCCAATAGAATAGCCAACATAATCCCGACACTAATTCATGATGATCAGGTGGGCTTTACAAAAGGCAGACAAGGATCAGACAACACCAGGAAGTTAATTGACTTGTTGTATAGCCTGATCGGAAGTGGGGGGAGGGGGAGATACTTCTATCATTGGATGCAGAGAAGGCTTTTGACAGGCTCAATTGGCCTTTTCTACAGGCAGTACTTGGTAAAAACAAGTTCCCCCCAACCTTTATTAATGCCGTCCAAGCACTCTACTCGCACCCATGAGTCCTAAACTCTGGGTTTATATCCAAACAAATACACAACGGATCGCGACAGGGGTGCCCTCTATCACCGCTACTCTAGATCCTGGCACTGGAACCCCAAGCAGTGGTCATTAGAGCCGACCCAGACATACAAGGAGTACACCTGGGGGATAACGAATACAAGCTTAACTTGTTCGCGGATGATATCCTAGTAACGCTAACGCACCCCATAATCTCCCTACCAAAGCTGATGGCAAGAATCCAAGAGTACGGGGCAGTGTCCTATTACAAGTTAAATGTCACGAAAACCCAAGCCCTAGGAATAAAATTAGGTGACAATCTCGCAAACAGACTGGAGAGGGCATTCCCCCTAGACTGGAGACATGACCACCTAACATTCTTGGGTCTCAAAATAACCAAAAACCCAGCCCACTTGTTCCGACACAATTATGCCCGAATGCTGAAAGAATTTTCAGACACCCTGCACACATGGAGGGGTAGGTACCTGTCGTGGCTGGGCCGCATAGCAGCAGTCAAAATGTCACTCATCCCTAAGATACAGTCCCTTTTCCCTACGCTCCAAATACCCATACCAAAACAATTCCTGAAAAACATGCAACACACTATCAACTCATTTTAGAAAATTGGGCAGACTAGATGGGCCGAATGGTTATTATCTGCCGTCACATTCTATGTTTCTATGTTTCTATATTTCTATTCATATGGGAGGGAAAAAAGGCGAGAGTAGCAGCATCGATCAGTTAAAAATGGAGGATTAGGCTTACCGAACCTAACAGCATACCACAGGGCAGCCTACTTACATAACATCACCCAAATCAACCGACTTACAGACGTCCCACAGTGGGTGACAATTGAAGCTAGCAAAGCACCACACAGTGATCTACGGTCACTAATGTGGAAACAGACAGACAATAACCGGGGGCTGGACGCTTTCTTACCAACTACCCAAACCCTACTGTGAGTATGGAACAAAATGAAATGCAAATTAGTGTCAAAACCGACGTTACCCCTAGCAATGCCAATGCGCACTATTGGACTGGAGATCCCTACCTTCCCTTGGGACATATGGGTGAAGGGAGGTGTACACCACGTATACCAAGTTATAGACAGGGGTCGAATACTACCATTCCCTGACATACAGGATAGGTACAACCTTCCCACGAGAGCAGTATTCTCCTACCTCCAGCTCAAATCTTATGTGTTAGACAAATCAGGGAAACAAACGGACGCCACCACAACGACACACATGACAGAATTCGAAAACCAATGCACGGGAATCACACCACTCAAGAAAATAATGTCCTGGGGATACCAGAAACTACTAGCTCAACAATCACACACACTAGGAGAGATAAAGTTGTCATGGCAGCAGGATATAGGCAGAATAATAACAGATAGGGAATGGGAGAGAGCATATGTAGCGGAACGCCAATATTAAATCCACGAATTCCGCTGGTCCAGAAACGAATCCACAGTCAAGCGCTGAAAACACCAAGGCAATATCCCCAACCTCCCAATAACCGGACGAGACACAGTTTTGGGAGTCAACTGACAATCCTTTAATCGGCACGACAATTTATACAAGTCCCCATGCAAGGGGTTTCCTGAGTCCCTTCCCAGGGGCACTCCCAGAGGGGACTACATGGGGGACTTACAGTATAACATATTTCTCCCATCAGGCACCGCTGCACGAGAGGGATCATCCTCCCAGAATGCACCGTTAAGGGGATTATCCCCTCGTGCAGCAGAACCGGCAATCCATACAAAAATACATAACTTTTAAAATACACGGTGGATTTACACGAATGGACGTTCGGTAGATAGCTGGGGTCTGGGCGCATCATTCGTGAGATTGCCGCTCAGATCCCAGCTAAAATAACCGAACGC